TAATTGAATTAATTGGCTTGTTATGCAACATTACATACACATGTATGTACATACATACATATGTATGTGTAAAAATATATGTACATATATCACATTTATGTACATTGCATAAAACACTTTTTATATGGTGCTAAGCAAAAGATATTTAGGAACATATACAGCCCGATTCTGAATATTCTCCAGAATTTTTTTCCCGAGGAAATAATTTTTCCCAAAAAAAAAAATCCTCCTATTCCATACTTACCGGGAAAAGCAGAATTAGGGAAAAGAACTTCGAATTTTCGAAATCAGCTGTTTGCTCGCTTTTGACATTTCAAATCAAATGTAAATATCAACTGCGTTTACAAAAATTCTCGTAAAAGTGTAAATTTTCGATAAAAAAAACATGTTTAGCATTGCTTTCCGGCTTTTAATGCACGAAGAGGAGCAAGAAATGGTTCCACCAAAAGTAGCAAGAAGAAATTTGCGTGACCAGGCGAATCCGCTAGAATTGCCGGACTCCTTGTAAATAAAAAATGTATTTTTTTGTACTTTTACTAAGTGTTATTTCTTTAGATTTGTGAAATATTATAGGGTAAATAAGGCCGCGTTTCAATATTTGTTGGAAGTTTTGACGACGCACGTTCTGCCAGCCAAAAAGCAGTTCGCCGTTTCCCCCATAGTAAAGCTGAGTGGAGTATTGCGCTTCTTTGCTGAAGGTGGCTACCAAACGGGAGTCGGTAAGGACCACGACGTTTCCGTAGCACAGTCTAGTTTAAGCAAAATTCTTACTGAAGTGCTGGAAATCTTTGAGAAGCATCTGTGCCCAAAGTGGATTCAAGTAGCAAAGACAGCCGAAGAAAAAAGAAAAATTGCCCAAGCTTTATATGTAAGGCATGGCTTTCCCGGTGTAATGGGATGCATTGATGGAACGCATGTGCGAATCATAGCACCCACTGAAAATAAACATCTTTACTATAATAGAAAGGGAAATTACAGTTTAAATGTGATGCTTGTAAGTTTTTTCAATAGATGTCGATTTTTTATTACATATAGGTATAGGTATTCACTTTTTACAGCTCTGCGATCATGAACTAAAAGTCCGCTACGTGGATGCATCCCACCCCGGTGCTTCCCACGATTCCTTTATTTGGAATACAAGCGATTTAAGAGCACACTTTGAGCAGGATTACTTGCGAGGAGTAACCAACTTTTGGCTACTAGGTAAAAACTTTAAAATTAAAAAATATATAAATATTGCTTATAATTAATATTATAACAAATTTTAACAGGAGATGCTGGTTACCCTTTAGAGCCATGGCTCTTGACACCACACAGGGTTCCAAACGAAGGCTCTACTGAAAGTAGATTTAATGAAGTGCACTCGAAGTGCCGCAACGTAATTGAACGCACAAATAGTGTGTTAAAGGGTAGATGGAGGTGTCTTCTCGGTGCGAGAGAGCTCCATTACACTCCAAAGAAGGCGGCAAAAATTGTCAATGTTTGTTGTGCAATACACAACATTTGTATACATTACAAAGCAGATTTCATTGCAAATTATGAACCGACAATGGACGATTGCAGTGACCTCAGCGAGCAAAACGCTTTAACACAACCGCAGTATATAAATGCAGCGCAGAGAGTACGAAGCGATATCGGGCTGAACTTATAGAATTCTGCGAAAAAATTCCACATAAATTTAAACAGTAAGGTAGCGCTAGCTGCTGGGGCTATCGGCTATGTATTTTTTAATAAAATTAATTAAAAATAAACAATTAAATGAAATTGGAAAACAAATGAATAAAATAAATGAAAATACGATTTTTATAATGCAAAAGCAATAAGAACCATTTTTATTATAAATAGTTTTTTAATAAAAAGAACAAAAACAACAAATTCAGTCCTTAACAAAGTACATATTTATGTACATAGTACATAGTAGTGTGTACCTGTGTATATTAAACATTAAATAACCACAGGAAATATAACCAAAACTGGTCAAAATAAAAAGTTGATATTATTCCTTCCATCACTGTATGTACATGTACATACATATAGTGGTCCACAAAATAAAAGAATTGCGATATTTTGACCAATTTTGTCTTTTTTATTTAATGTTTATTATTTTTTTTATAAAAACATTAGAAAAATTCTGCTTATTTTCACCAAAATTTCAAACTCTTTAATCAGAATTTTGGTATGCAGTTTTGCAGACCATTTCATTCTAGTATAATGAAGTGCAAGTTTCAAGCTGCTATAAAATCCGGTTAATTTTTGGCAATTTTTTTTTGCTGGCAGTGTTCTCCATATAAAAGAAAATTGTCGCACATACTTTTCTATGGAAAAAACGTGAAACACCTTCAACAAAAAAAAAAAAAATCATTTTTGTGAGCTGTCTGCAAATGTTTTTTAATGTGGGCTGTCGCTTCACCTGAACATTTGAAAACAAATTCCAAAGAATCGGCAAAGAAACTCCGAAAAAAGGCCGATGCCGATACTCAATTTTGTGCCGATGCCGATTAATCGGTCGGACTCTATAAATTTCATTTTTTTTTTCCGTTCTTTGGTTGCACCACGCTCGCTGCGAGTCCGCGCGGCACACGGCATGAAAAAAAAGGCATCCGTGGCAGGAGCGAAAAAAATTTATATTATTTACTTTTGACTGCATGCAAGTTTCCGTGTTTTTTTTAAATAATGTATTATAGAAGAAGCATAGTTGCCAAATTGGTGCTTTAAGCACTAGATTTAGTGCCTTTTGAAAATTAAAACGCCAAAAAAATTGTTTAGTGCCTAGTGCCTTTTTTAGTGCTTTTCTTCTGGCCTCGAATTTCTCTTAGATAGTTAAAATATGAAATATTCAAAGCTGTGGCAGCACTGAATTTGAAAGAATCTACATTCATTTTTTCGTTTGTTGCGATTGGATTTTTCTTTTTCGAGATATACCAGTTTTAATGTGCAGTACTTCGGTATTACTTCGTAAGCATGAGAAAAAGTTTTGTGTATTGATTTATACTTCTAAATATTGTTTATTTTTTTTCCTCTTTTTAAATACAAGCTGTTATGAAAAAAAGTATCCTTTGAGACAAAAAAAAGAATCACTGCTTTTAGTAAGGTAAAACGCTTTTCTCCCCAAGTTTTGGTGTTTTTGGAACTCAAAAGTTGGCAACACTGGGAATAAGGATTGATATTCAATGTAAACATATTAAATAAATGTAATTGTTGGGTCGGAGGCACAAATGTACATAGATATGTGGGTATTTCAGCACGTTCCATTTCTGTCATAAATTTAAATCAAGGTTCATAGAATAAATGGTTACGACATCAGCCATGGCCGCCGTCTTGATGACGTAGATGGCTCAATTTTTGGAGTTGCCAGATTCCTAAGAATTTATCTTATAAAAATACACTATTTTAGTCAAAAATACATGAAGTTTTATTTCAAATATGTGTAACCCTGATATTGACCGTTTGACAATTTGCGTCGAAGTTTGTGCTTTTTTCTGTGTCTTTGAGTTTATTTAAATTATTTAAAATTTAAGTGCGCTGTTTTTGATTGCAAAAATTACACTGAAAAAGGTAATTTAAGTTTACCGTATGTCTAAAGATGAATTGCAATTTCTGTAGCGAAATTTTGGCAATGTTATGAAGCCTTTTATTTAAAAATACGCGAGTGCGTTCTGATCACTTTCAAGAATAAAATCACCAGCAAATTTCAACTTGCATTCAATTTACATTTCATTTGTCACTATTGTACGAATATTATGTTAATCCAGTTTCACGTGAAGTTATAACATTTTATGTTGTTATAATAAGCTTTGCCACGAAACTCAAAGACACAGAAAAAAGCACAAACTTCGACGCAAATTGTCAAACGGTCAATATCAGGGTTACACATATTTGAAATAAAACTTGATGTATTTTTGACTAAAATAGTGTATTTTTATAAGATAATTTTTTTGGAATCTGGCAACTCCAAAAATTTAGCCATCTACGTCATCAAGATGGCGGCCATGGCTGATGTCGTAACCTTGTATTCTATGAACCTTGAACTAATGCCTTTGAATAATAAAACAGCAGTGTTACCAACTTAGAGATTTCCCCCCACATTTAGGGGGGAATTTTGTAAACAGAGGATGTTTTGGGGGGACATTTTTTTTAGGGTAATCTTTAGGGGGAAAAATTGTATGCTTACAGCCCTATTCCGCCACACTGACAAAACTCACCGCGATGACAATTGATATAAACATGACAATTGCAGCTTTTTGGTATTCGCAGCAAAATTCAAAAGCTCGAATCATGCCAATTGTCATTTTTATTGTCATGACCTTTTGGGCAGGTGACAAGGCAGAAACATATGTTTGTGTTGATATAAAAAGTGCGACGATTTGATAAATTTCCGTCCGTGGTCCCCCACCGGTTCCAATTACATCCACATGCACTTTTCGTGCTCTGCAGCGTAGCTGATTTTTCCACGCCGCTAATGTCTGCGAAATAATGTGTGTATGCAAATGTATTTGTAGTAGATTCCAAAGATTTCTTTTTAATATTTTAATTAAAAGTTAACAAAACTTAATTTATTTTTATATTGTTAGCAATTCGAGAAAAGTTTGAATAATAAAAATTTTCTATTTGATTGACGAACTACAAAAATCACAAAAATCTAAAATTTCCAAAATTACAAAGTTGAAATGAACACAGTACAATAAAAGGTAATAACACAAATACAAACCCTACAATACTCCCCCTTCTAGAGAATTAATGTTATATAAATTAAAAGTAACTCGTTTCTTATTTGATGTTGTGTTATTCATTGTATTAGTGTTTGTTTCTGGTATTAGTTCTGTTTCAATGATTGCTGGTTTTAGTCTGTCTATCAGAATTGTTTTAACCTCATTATCTACTTCAAGTTTGAAATATTTTTTGTTTTTTTCAACAACCTTATAAGGTCCTTCGTATGGTTGTTGCAATGATCTTTTATTAATAACACGCATAAAAACAAATTTCCATTGTGACGTTTATGGTTGGGATGTTTACTTTTTTGGTGTCTTCCCCTTGACTTAAAGAGGGTGATGGAGTCCGGCTTCGGACGCGTTCTACAGAAGTAAGTTAAAATCAACCTGGAGATTCTCCTCTAATGTGGTTGGTATTGTTACTTCTATATTGTGTCTAGCTAACGAAGATACAAGTTTATCTCGTACTGCAATGAAAAATTGGTAAGCTTCCTTTTGGTGTTCTGTGGTAAGTATGCGATTTTCTACATTGATCACCTGTCTAATGTTATTAAGGGCTTCCAAGATTATGTTCAAATGTTTTACTATAGTTTCCGTTGTTATAGGAATACTCTTATTTATACATTTGTATGATTTACTAGCTTTAGTTTTTTCGTCAGTTAACGTGTCATGGATTTCTTTCCATTGATTCATTTCTGGTTTAAAACTTTTGGCATTTTTGAAAGTTGTTTCTTTTTATTGAGAGAGTTATACCGTTGTTGTACATTGTTTAATTGTCTCAATTTGTTTTTAATGTAATTTTTTATCAAGATTACCATTGCGACAATTAAACATGTAGCTACGCATGCAAAAGCGGTCAACCACTTATCGGGAACTTCTTCCTTGTTTTCTACGATAGGATGTGGTTGATATTTAATTACTTTAGTTTCGTAGGTGTTTTCACCTGAGGTTTCTTTTCCTACTTCGTATCCTGCTATTCCTATTAATATGCCGTTTAGTGCAATTTTCCACCAAGTCATTTTTTTGTTAATAATATTTTACGGTTGAAAAAAAAAAATGAATGAGAAAAACAATTTTCCTTTTTATTATTAGTTGTTGTTTTTTAATTTAATAAAAAAAATTTTTTTTTGTATTTTTATTAGGTATAGCTATCTTGTTTGTGCTAACATTCTCCTTGTTTCTTCTTCCCTAGTTTTTGGATTTATGACGTCTACTAAGGTGGTTTCCCTGTTCATACTATAAATTTCCTAATGATCCTTTTGGTGGTTCTGCGTTTTGTTGTTGCTGGGTTCCACCCATTTTTGTGCAGATCTTTTAGTTTGGTTATCAACTTCTTCTTTTGTTGCCCGCGACTGATGTTAATTATTCGCTGTAGTTCTGCAATTCTTTTTGGTGCCTTCGCTTTCTACCTCCACGTTTTTTGGGTTTATGTTCGCAGCTTATTCGTTGCCTAAACTCTTGTAAGTTAGCTTTTTGGCGGTTTTGCCTTTGCCGGTATTCCTCTAGGGATATTGGTTTGGGTCCTATTACAATTTTTGTAGGGATGTATTTGGGGTATTCTTCTGCGTTTTTCGATCCTTCCGGAACGTATTCCTCTTCCATAATGTACTGGCAGGGTCTTGATAGAGTTGGCAGGATCTAGCTTTGAGCTGGCAGGATCTAGCTTTGAGCTGGCAGGATCGCCATGTAAATATTGGAAGAAGTTTAGTATTTTCTTAGCTCTACAGCCGCATTTAGGTGAGCATTAAAATGCCCCACAATGATTCCAAAAGTAAAACGCAAGTAAAAACGTTGAGTCTTAAAGTTGGAATGTTTTATTCGGCTCATCGCCGTTCTTTTATATGCTTACAATCTACCTTATGAGTAAACTTACATTTCTAAGTTGTTAGTCATGCTTATGATTCTACGTTGTTGTGCATGCATACATAAATGTATATGGGTTCAATCGAGTTTATGTTATTGGAGAAGTGCAGCGCAAGCTAAATTGATTTGAGTACTTTGGCCTAGTTATTGCCAAAAGTATATTGAACTTTTTACTTAATATTGTGTGCACATTTTGTTTTGCTTAGCTGTCA